TCTTTCTATTTCCCTTCCTTCAACAATGGTTCAAGAACCTTATAGTTTCTACCAAGATGGTCGATGAAAGGTTAATCTTCTGTTCTAACTGTATGAAAAAGTCAACTATAAAAGTTTCTATATACCCTAAAGCTCTCAAAAAAACCATTAACCCATAAATTACCAACATAAACATATCTGTAACCTAATCTTCATTGGAACTTTGAAATATGACATCTCATAAGAAAACCCACGGTATCCCCTTGCTAGTTCTTTTTTTCTTATCAATCACCTAAACCTTGACTGTAATTATCTTTGCTAACTTTTTCTTTTACCTTGACAACTTTTGTGTCTTCCAGTTCACTCTATCAAGTTTAGGTAGATTTAAATGTAGCGAGGCAGAATACTCTTTTATGGTAGGTGTCATATCTTTCTTGTTGAATGTGAAGCATCAGTATACAAGATTCCAAAACCTTATTATAACCTTCAACATTTGATCATTAGTCTCACCATCAACAATAAAGCAATGTCTATATATTTGGTCGTGAAAGTGATATTCTTTTTCAGCCTTCGTTGACTCTAAATGCCCTTCAAATCTGTCATGTCATTCTTTCTTAAGTTCACATATACCATCTCTGGAAAGCTCACAACATATCGAACCATCAAATAATCTCCCTCTATCTGCTGCCTATTCTCTAACTAATCTTTAACTTCACATAATAACGTATTTACTGAGGATCTTACTTGTGATTTTTGGAATGCCATGAGAACTTTTACCAATGAATTATCTATAATGTATATCTCTAATGCTTTTATGTCAGATGATGCATGAAACATGCAAGAAAAAGAAAAACACAAAAAACATAAAAAAATAGTTAAAAGGAAAAAGAAATGCAAATGCAAAGTAATAAGACAAGTTAACACATACATTTTTCTTAATCAAATTTCAAACCTTTTTAATTTTTCTTTTTTTTTTCTTTTTTTTTTATTTTGTTTTTTTTATAAAGAAATGCAAATTTTAATAACTTTCCCTTTTCTTTTTTTAGTAAAAAAACAAAAAAGTGAATGAGAAAGGTAAGAAGTGTTACTTTATGTGTCTTATTTAAGGTAATTACTGAGAAAAATGTGGGCATGGTTCTACCTATGACTAGCTCCCTATGGCTCACTATATGTCGGGTTAGGAATTTATGCATCTAAAGATTCTTAAATTGTTTCTTACATCATTATCTATCATAGACTAGTGTAAGATCCCTATCCTTGACCATTATAGGCTACGAGTGAAAAATGTTCTATCTGAGTAAGAGTGTTTCACTAGCCATTGCAAAGGTTTACACCTCACGATAGTGTAGCTACATTACTTCCTCCTAAATAAAGTTAAAGCCCATGTATAGAGCTTATGCATGCAATGCAATGTGAGTGTGTATGAAAGAACATAAAAACCTTTCACACTTTTCTAAAATACCCGTATCCTAAATGTCCCATAATTATTAAAAACAAAATAAATGGCAACAATTTAAAACAAATGACATAATTAAAATATGCAAGACATGTAAAACACACACACTTTTTTTCTTTAATTTTTGGAAACAAAGAAATTAAAATCAAAATATTTTTTATTTTTTTTCTATTTTTTCAAAATTTTCCACTTTTAGAAAAACAAGAAAATTAAAATCAAGGAATTAAAATTAAACACTAACTAGGACCATTAAACCAAACTTTTGGATAACATATAATCAATCTTTAGCCTGACTCTCTAAAAATGTGTCTTTAGTAGAGTCACCAAGTTGTCGTGACATTTTAGGACTGAGGGTGGTAACCTAAGTACCAAATGAATAGGGAATAAGAAGCGAGAGATTAAAAAAAATATTTTCAATAAAAACCAAAATGAAGAGTTGCCACCAATCTTTTTCATGGTATTATTGGCTACTCGAAAAATTTTTGTCCTTTAAATAAAACATTTAAAAGATTTAAATGTTTTACAAAAAGAACAAATTGAGGTATGTGAAATCAGATTTAGGGTTTGAGAGTCTGTTACGTGTGAGGAAAAATTGTCACCCTTACAATGCTTATCAAATATACTACCAATTAACTACATGTTATCATTAAACTTTAGTTAAAATTGGTCCTATTCTAATGTTTAAGATTAATTCCTCTTTATTTCTTTTTTTTATTTAAAATTTTTTTTTTCTTTTTTTAAAGAAAAAACATTTTTAATTTTTTTTCTTGAAAAGTGAAACAATTTATTTTTAGATCAAAATGAAAATTTCCTAAGTATCAACATACCTTTTCCACTTTCCTATATTTAGGAAGGGTTTCAAAAATAATTCCACCATAAGGACTTTCAATTTGTCTTACAAAATCGAGATAATACTTCACATAAATAATAATCACCAAGAGTCCTTCTATATTTAGGCTAGATCTCAATAACTATATTTACTTAAGATATTATCTTATTTAAAAACATTTTACTTTGACAATTCATTTTGAAAACAAATGCATGATGTGCATGAACATAATAAAATGCATGAATGAATGACATAATATGAATGTATGCAATTTAAGGACGCATGTAAAAAAGTAAAATGTGATATAAATGCATGAATGGGGTTAAGGGTTGGTTTTAGTGTTTAGGGTATATTTTAGGGTTTAGGTTTTATGGTATGTTTTAAGGTTTTAGGGTTTAGGGTTTCAAATTTGGGGTTTCATGGGAAAATGCACATGGCCAAAATAAATTACAATAATGCCACTAGTAAAAATGTAAATATTTAATGCATGTGACATATGTATGACAAGAGAACAAACTAATTATAAATCAAGCATTCACAAAACTAAATTACAAACAAGATGTGAATGTGAAAACATGAAGAAAATGAATCAAACATTAAAATTTTTCAAACTTTGAAAAACATGTTCCACCATTTTTTTCTTTTGGAAAATCATGCAAATAATCACAAAAAATAACCAAACAAGCTACCAAAATGACTATTTATTCATGAAAATAGAATTAACATATTGTAAACTTGATGATCAAACAAAAAACTAATGAAAACACATAGGAACCAAGCAACATTTGGCCACCATTCAAGCAAGAAGATTCGGCCTAACATGGAAAGTAGTTTAGCCAAACACCTCTGATGGCATTCCATAGTGTTGCAACCATTCATTTGATCCAAACATGCATCAATCACTTGGAAAATCATCATATGAAAATCTTTATACCATTAGAGCAAGTTCATCAAACATGTAATGAACTAACATAGAAAAGAAGCCATATAAACAAGAACATAAGCCAAACACCAAGTATATACTAATGACTAATCAAAATTCATGCAAATATCAAACAAACTAATCATCTAATTATTATGTAGATCATTTAAAAACAAGAGAAATATCAAAATGAACCAAAAGGAGATTTGGCCATTGTGCAATGAGGGTTGGCCGAACCTCCCAATAGTGTTTAATGGTTGGTTTTGTTTTCTTTCTTTGATATTTTATCTCAAATCAAACTATGAATTAGTTGATTGAGGTTCTAGATCAAATTTGAAACTAAAAAGACGAAAAACTAAGGATTTCTCAAAAAAAAAAAAAAGTAAAGAATCAAACATGAAAATGTTATGAAAAATGTAGTGAAAATGCAATTGAATGCAAGTAGGGATTATACCTTCTCTAACCTTTTAAGAAGTTTTTTCTTTTTTTTTTCTTTGCTTTCTTTCACATTTTTCCTCTATTTTTTTCATTTTCCAACCCCTCCTTCCTCTGATCGTCCCATATTAAAATCCCAGCTAAATGGAAGAATGAAAATATCTCCTCAAATTAAATGCTAGCCTTTGGATTGGAAGTGCATCTAACAGTCTATTTTCATCCCTTGTTTTCTTTGCAATGAGCCATCTTTTACCATTGAATCAAACTCCTCAAGATCATCCTATGATTGAGAAGGTTTACTACCAAAGATTGAATTTTTAGAACTGTTACTGAGTGAAAAGATCATTTTTCCCCACATTAGAAAGTTTTTGGTTTCTAGGCCATTTTCTTGGAAAACATTGTTTCCTTATTCATTTTTGCAATTTTAAAATACCAAAAGTTATGAAATAATATGAAATTAAGATTAGAAAATTTTCGCGAAAATCCAGCATCAAGAATATCAAACTACGAAATTATCCCTAAGGGGTATTTTGATAATTTTATACTTCATGAGGTGTTGCCAAGGTTTTCAATACACAAAAAATCATCAAATATTATAAAAATATGACATAAAAAATTTCGTAAAAAACTGACCTCGAAAAGGTCAAATTACAAAAACACCTCTAATGGGTATTTTAGTGATTTCACATTAAGATTTTTAATATTTCAAAAATCATTAAATAATATAAAATCATGATTTAGAGTTTTTCATGAAATTCTAACCTCAAGAAGGTCAATTTATGAAAATACCCCTAAGAATATTTTTTAGGATATTTTTATAATTTCACACCTCTTAAAGTGTGATATGAGTTTTTAATGTATCAAAAATCATTAAAAAATATTTAATTATGATATAAAAGTTTTCACGAAAGTTCGACTTCAAAAAATCTAAATTACAAAAATACTCTTAATGGCATTTTTGGTAATTTTGCATTTTCGAAGTACAAGCAAGTTTTAATTACAAATTTTAACTTAAAATCACGTTTGATTCCAACTAATCGAAAATTTTAAAAGTTAACCCGAGTTTTATCCATTTTCATCAATTTTGACCAAATTTATTTTTTTTTTATCATGTTTAACCTTAAAAGATTTAAGTCAAATTGATCCCAATTTAATTTTTTAAAACTTATCAAAATTAAAAAAAATATTTGATTTGAACTAGAGAACTTCACAAATTACTAAATTTTACCTTGATAAAATTAGATCTCCACACTAATCCTTTCAAGAAACTCACGATCAATATTGATACTGCCTCTTTTCTTTGTTTTATTATTTTATTTTATTATTTTTTTTGCGAAGGTGACTGGGATTTAATATAACAATAAATACCATATAACACCAAGCAAATAACCAATAAATTTATTAATATAAGGAACAGTTTACAGATAATTGCTTTCGCTATAAAGTCGGATGAAGGTTATCCTATTAAAAAGACTCAAAGAGTAGCTAGCCATGACTAGACCTTTTGCTTAACTGAGATTGGTAGGATAACACCCTATCAGGGCTAAACCGAAGACCAAGAGTTTGCATCAATCCAGTCAAAAGCTATAGGGCTCAGAAAAGCATCAGGAATGCCAAAGGAACTGACTAAAGCAAACGCATGTGGTCGAAGTTCACTGCAAATTTTTGTTATTTCTCTCCTCACAGCGGTGGCATTGTCCACTGATAGGTACCCATATTGGAGAAATGCAACATCTTCGATACAAATTAAGGCATACAATGATCTCAATATGCCTAGAACATCCTACAGAAGAAGAAAATGAAGACTCAACAACCTGGCTTAATGCACAAAAAAAATATTTTATCTTGTAAAACCTGAAGCATGCTTTAAAGGTTTCAATTGACAAACAATTAAAGTTTCCTGGATATGAATCAACTCCATCTGCAAATCCTATATGTGATAGCAATTTGTTCTATTTACCTCCTTTTCTGGTCATATCCACCATATCCCGTAAATAACCAGTTAGGGCAGTTTCAGAGAACTAGAAAAGGTAATTGGCCAGTGCAGGTGAGGTTTGATTTGTTTCAGATTTGGGTTAAACCAGGTTCTGGATCAATTAACTTTTCAAGTCAATTCAGGTTGGGTGAGCCAATTTGTTCATTCAGATCTGATTCAGCCACCTTTACGACACTAATGATAACAATCAGGTTCTAGTAGGTTTGAGTTTGGTTTTCAAGCTCAAGCCATTGACTTTTCAATTTTCTAAGGTCGGATAGGGTTTTGAAAGGGCTGGCCAAGTCAATCAGATTAGGTTCACTTTCACAAATTCTAGATTAAACTGAATATCAAGTGGATGTTACTTCTAGATGCTTGCATGAGAAACATTAACTAATATTCACCTTCAATGAACCAGCAGCTAGAGTTGCTTCTGCCTCAACAAACGTTTGAAATATTGCTCGATCTGAGAAAGCTCTGCCCAAGTCCTCTGCTAGCTCATAACTCTGGTGTGCAAAAATTATGTGAAAATTAGACTAAAAGGTGGAGAAAAGGATAGAAATTTAGATAAACAAGTGCTTCCTCACCATAATGAATGCATGCTCTTCACTTTCTCCCTTGGATTTAAGTTGTGAGACCTCTGCAACAAAACGATTCAAAAGATCTCTCTCCCTTAAGCACAAGGCATCCATCTAAAACATAGGACAGTGTTCAGAGATACCCATGAATTTTAATATGGAATATTAAGAATAGAAAAACTGATGCTAATCTTATATTACCTGGAATTGACTGCATCGAAGGGTAGTGCTAGTAAGCTGTGATGGAATGATAGGGCAGGGTTTATTCATGTGTTCTAAGCCCAGACCCTTGAAAGCCTTATTTCTCTTCTGAGCAGCCACATATTCGGCAAGAAGAGCCTTGCTGACCTGATTTGACATGTTTAATCCATAAGCTTCACTGTTTTAAACATAGTTGTAACAAATATAGAGTATATTAACATTTCAATGTTTATATATATATGCCACCAAAGTAAGCAATAAGCCGTTAAGTTTAACCTTGGCAGATAACATGAAGAAATTACTGTGGACCGTTCCCTAAGATGTTATGAACACAAAATCCAGGAAGACAATTAAGATTGACAAACACAACTTCTTGGCCATGGTTAGGGAGGCATATAATCATCTTGATTTAAAAAAAAATAAAATAAAGCCAATAAAATCCTGAACACATACACAGGACTCGTTTCCCAATTCTGCATCTCAATGCTTTCCTTTTACTTTGAAGTCATATTCCCAGACAATTTACTTATGTTGCAAGTTGTAACCAGTTGTCATTGTCAAAGAAAATTTGTTAGGAAACAAGAAAAAAAAATTTACCTGCTGCATCAAAACATGATTGTCCCCCTCAAAAGTGGATTGCACATCATATTCACCTTTAAGATGACCAACACGATTCTCAGTCTTTAATCCTTGTCCTCCACAAGCTTCACGACATTCCTGAAGCATTCAACAATTGAGCCTCTGTAATGACACTTAATGTTAAAATATTCAACTTAATTAAGGATCGTCTGTTGCTCACCTGAAGTATTTGCATGTTATTCCAAGTAAAAGTAGCTTTGAATGAACTTGAAACTACATGAATGGTTTTGTTTGACTGAGGTGTCCTCTTTACATACAGCATTTTCATGTAATTTGCTGCAAAACTCATAGCATAGCTGCAGCATATAAAAGCAAATAAATAAAGAAGAGTTTATCAAAACCAGCAGCTTTAACTAGATTATTACTGGTTCCATTGCTATTCAAGTAATTGCAATATGTGTCTTGACCAACTTTATACCAACACAAACATCAAAGACCAAACCTCATTGGCTATAACTTTGAATAAATTAGCAACTAAAATAAATGCTAAGTTCTTATAATTGAGTTAGCTGACACTCCAAATACAAGGCTCAGGTGTTTGTATAATAGATTTAATCTTGTGATGTTTATTCATTAAATATGCCAACAAGAAGAGATGCTTATTCAAACACAAACAAAGTCAGAACCCAATAGCACCATATAAAAAAATTAATTTCACCCCTTATATGCTGTTAGCAGCCTAATAAATAACCCTGTTCATCTAAAGTTCTAAACCACTAAAGCTGCACTCAAAGTGCACCAACATCAGCCTGAACCAGGAAAAAATAATAAAAGAACACAATCACTCTGAGTTACTCTTGCAGGACATTAAATGCTCAGCAAATGCTGATAAAACATACATTTTTTCTATATACAACAACAACAGCAGCAACAATCTAAGCCTTATATCCCATAACTCTGGGGTCAGCTATATGAAAGGCCAAAAAAAGGAATCATCTTGGTTATAGTTTTGTATATTCTTGCCCATACATTTTTTCTATATATGCATAGAAAAGAATGACTATCTTCCAAGCCAGTAAAAAAATTTGTCATGTTGAGCCATGCTACAAGCATTATAATTGGAAGTGCAAAACACAAACTGAACTCCAGAAGAGCATATGTAGAATGTATATTTCACAAGATAAACTGTAGGTATATACTTACATCTTTGCAATGAGAGGCAAGAGTCGTCGTTGATGACTTGGGTAATCAAGCAATAAGACCTCGGGTTCATTTGGTTTGAGAGAAAAAGCCCGCCTTGTTAGTGCATACCTAATGGCAATTGCTAAACCAACCTAAAATGGAGAGCAATAACATGATATCAATGACCTTTTCCATTTGGTATTAGTGGCCTGCCACCCCAGATCCCAAAATACAATGATAGGCAATGCTCATTGCCAATAAAAAGGAATAAGATGCTTGAAAAATATAGGGAAGATACCTTTGCTTGGTAAACTGCACTAACTGCAATATTAACACGACCTCCTGTCAGAGGGGCCATGAATGCAGCAAATCTCTGAATTAAAGCAACAGTTATGTAAGAGCCACCAATACATTATTACCAACAAAACAAGGATCTTGTTGTGGTACAATACACAACTTTAGCAGATACTAGCCATCTCAAATAGGAGTACCTGATCTGGGTCTTTTATTGAACTTAGATATTTTCCATCAGGTGAAACATCGGCAACTGAATTTAACAAGTTCTCTCTGGGCACTCGAACATTGTCAAACCTGAAATGACAAATGTAAACCTTTTAGATTAGAATTTTCGAAGGAAACAAAAATATTAAAGAATCTTTAGTAAAAAAGTGTAGGTTTAGAATTACCAGATTCGACCATTATCAACACCATTTAAACCAATTTTATGACCACAGTCAGCAATGCGAATGTTTGGACATACGTTACCATCAGCATCCCTGATTTGGACTATAAACGCATGAACCCCTTGACTGGTTCCATTGATATTTAGCTGTGAAAATGCAATTGTGTGTGTTGCATGCTAGAAAGCAAAGCAACAGCAGAAGCATACCATGTCAGCATATAGGCAAAACTGAGGAAACAATCATAAAAAACAGTTAAATGAAAATTTCACATGTGCAAAGTTATCTAAAAAGATGGTGCAGGGAGAAATCATATTTGGTTCTAAGACAAGCATACATTGGCTGCCCCACCAATCCAATACTTCTGAGCTGATTCACAAGGAGTACTAATGACAAACTCCCCTGTGTTTGAATCATATGTTGTTACCGTTTCAATACCGCGAACCTAATAACAGAAACGCCAGAATAAATGAGGAAAAGAGTACAAGACTGCATAAAAATACAAAAGGGCTTCATTCTTGTTACTAAAGAACATACATTACTTCCGTGCCCCAACTCCGTCATTGCAAAGCAACACCTGATCGATAAATTTTCAGTGTCCTTCAGCCACTTGTCATGATGGTGCTTTGTACCAAAAAATTGTATGGCACCACCCCTGCAAACATTTATCACAATCGTAGTACTCAGTTCCAAATTTTTTCTTTTCTACTTCGACCTTGTTGACTAAAAGTCCTGCCGATAACAACTGGTTACAAACTTAGATGAAGTGTAAGTAAAGCCAAAAAAAAAAAGCAGCCCTTGGTCCCATTAAAATTTCAATCTTCAATACGCTAAGACTTTGTAGGTTTGTTGCGTTTTATTCTTATATCTTTTGCTATCCTTTCTAATTCCAAAGAGTTGTTAAAAAACAAAATCATATTTGATTAAAACAAACAAATAGCTAAAATGTAACAACATATTCAAATAAAATTATTCCATAAACAATTAAAATAGTACAGTTTGTTACTCAAAAGATATCCAATTTTTAATCCTTCAAAACTATTAAGTAGTTTCTATGTATCCAAATCTATTTTTTACCTCCAACAGCAAAAGGAAAAAAAATAATAATCAGAGGAAGCCTTTAACTCTACATTGATACATTTGTTTGCATGTAATTCACTCCCTATCTCAATTTCCATCCAAAACCATAAAAAATAATGAAAATATCAAATTGTACAGTTTGAAAGCAAATAAAACAACACAACAAAATTCCAACACTTTAAATTAACCTTAAAAAGATGAAGGGAAAAAACAGAAAACGCACCACAAGAAGAAGTGAACTCCGAGCTTAGTGGCAAGGGAATGATCGAAGATACTCAGAACCTCAAAGCAAGCGAACTTCCTCATCTCAGCCTCTTCTCCGTTCTCCGTTAACCATCCTTTGAACACCCCTCTCTCCAGCAAATACTCGATGCGTTTCAATGTCATTTCCCGCTGCTGCTCCATCGACTGGTTATAGTCCGGCGACACAAACACCTTCCCTCCCCTCACTCTGGGGTTGAACACCTTGCTCTGCCTCATCATCCCAAACAGCCAATCCCGTTCCTCCACGTTGTGCCTGTCGAGTAGCTTCCGCATCTCCTTGATGTCAAATGCGTAATTTTCGGAAAATTCGGGGGGAGTGTAATTTAAACAGGCGTTTGAAGAAAGAGAACGAATTCGAGCGGGCGAAGATGCAGAGGATTGGAGGAGGTGGTTGGTTAGGATTTTCGATCTTTGAAAAGCTCGATCCATTGGAGAATTAACGTTTTCCTTTTTTTTTTTTTCTCTTTTAGGATTTGCAGATAAAATTCAAGAAGAAGAAGATGATGATGAAAAGATGATCGTCAAGAATTATTGTTTGGGGGGTCGAGCGTTTAAAAGATGGTGTGTTCATGTTTAATTGGGCAGGGTGGTAGTTGTCAGTTGAAGTACACGTGGTTTGATTGGATGCATGAACTTTTTTTTTTTCTTCCAGAAGGAAGCTTTTAGAACGGCTTTGACTGATAAATTTAATAAGGGTAAATTGCATTCAGATCCTTCCATTTTAACCAAAATTTAAATCAAATTCTAAAAAAATTATGATAATTTAAAATATAATACAATAATACGATAAAAATATAATATGTAACAAAAATTAAAAGTGATATTATTTAAAATTTTAATAATAATTTTATATGAATTTATATAATTAAAAAATATATTTTATATTTTTATATCGATATAAATTATATTATATAATTTTCATATAAAATATAATATAAATATATAAATTTTAATATTTTATATAATATTAATATAGGAATCATTATACCTATGAAAAATGATAATATGCCTCAAAATAGTTAATGCTATTAGTAAAATTTAAACAATTACAAAATCGTCCAAACATGAACCTAAAATCGAGCTACTTTTTTTTTCATGGCTTTATCTACTCTTTGTTCTTACAAAAAAAAATGAAGTCGACACTCTATCATGTTGGATGTTTTAAGTCTTGTTTCTTCATGGGTATAATGGTCATCATCCAAACCTCTTAAGAGATTTTGTGACGTGGATCAACAAAAATACTACTTTATCCTGCCAATTTGATAATAGTAAGAGGTCTATCTCTCAAACTAATGAATTTGGCTCGAATTTGAAAAAAATATGGGACTTTAATGACAATTTTACCCATTCAACAAAACAACCTTCTCTGTTTGGTAAAAGAAACACGATGAACTAACCATATAAAATTAGATTGCGGTTTATTTTTATAGAAATTTATATCATATAAAAATTTTAGATTTCGATTTGCTTTTTTTATAAAAATCTATAAATTTACCACTTTTATTTGTATGAGTCTCTAAATTTGTCATTAATTTTTTTAATTAATATAATTTTATCATTATACTTTTAATTATAGGATAAATTTATCATCATATTTCAAATTTTGAAACAATTAAAAAATAATTAGTAAAAAATTCTGTTGAAAATTGTTTTATAATTCAAAAAAAATCTAAAAAATATGACATGAAAAAAAGTCAAAAGCAATTGAAAAAATATGATGTGACATTATATGCAATAAAAAATTATGACTAAATAAGACAAAAAGAAAATTTCAGATTATGTGACATTATATTTAATAAAAAATACCATGATAAAAAAAAAAGAGAAAATAAATTAAAAACTGGATTTTAGTTCATGATTGTTTTTCTTTGTCTTATCATTTTAAAATTTATTTTTGAATTATGAAACAGTTTTCAATAGAATTTGTTTCTTGAATATTTTTTAATTGCAACAAATTTGAACTATGATGGTAAATTTGCTTCAAAATTAACATTATGTTTGGATTGAAGGAAGGGGAAGGAAAGTAAAAGAAAATAAAGAAAAATAATAGAAATAAATTAAAAAAAAACTTTATTTTATTTAGATAAATTTTTAATTTAAAAAAAATAAAAAATATGAAAACTCAATAACTTTTAATTTTTTTGTAATTCCTCACTTTTTTAATATCCAAATTTGGAGGAAAGCTAAAGAAAGAAAATTGAAAAAATTTTATTTTTATAAAAAGACTATTATATTTATATTTTTATTATGATATTAGATTTGATTATATAACCGATATTTCTCACAATAATAATTTTTTATGAATATTTTATATAACATCATAATTTATAAATATTTTATGATTTTTCAAGTCTTGATAACAAAACAAACTAAATTATTGTCAGAATAAATTAAAAGATTGAATTAAACACAAAATTAAAAGTAAATTAACTAACTAATACATCTTATCGTATTAAATATATTCAATTTTGTTTAGAAAAATTTATTTATACAAGCTAGGTAGCATAAAAATATATTTGTATATTATATGTTATTTTATAAAAAAAAATGTTATAATTGAAAAAAATATTATAATGAATTTTTTTTTTCACTATTTATCCAAACAATAGTTGTTAGAAGTCTTATCCTTTATTTTCTTTATTAATTTTAACTATCCAATTAAAGGGTACATGTACAATTTTCTTTCCTTTAAAAACCTTTTCTTTTCTTTTTCTTTATTTATATGTATCAAAACATAGCATAAAAGTATGATGATGAAATTATACCAATTAAAAAATTAATAGTAAATATGAACCATTTACATAAATACAATGAACCATTTGCACTTTATCCCAATTTTATATTATAAAATGTGTAAATTATACCTATGATCCTTATTAAAGATGTAATCGATCGAGTTTAAATTGATACAGTATTAAATTTGAGCCCGAGTTCGATTTTAAATTTCAAGCTCAAAACTCTACTTGAATTTGATCAAGTTTATTTTTTTAGCTCAAGCTCGACTCGAGATAAAAATTAAGCTACTAGAATTCGCTCGATTAGGCTAGATTAATATATAAAAATAAGTTTGATTCTTATATTTGATAAAAGTTTGATTATTTGTGCTCGAACTCGAATTCGAGATATTTTATTAATTAATAATTAAATATATTAAAACATAAAAACTCGATTAGGCTTACAAGCTGCTCGAGCCGGGTATAAGAATACTCGAACTTAAGTCAATTGATAAGTCAAATTATTCGAGTTCAAGTTCACTTGATAATAGCCGAGCCAAATTCAAGTTTATTATAATCTAACCCGAATAGCTTACGAGTACTAATGCATTATTTACACATTTAATCCCTATACTTTAGGTGAAATATCATTTTGATATAAAAGTTTCAAAGTAACTTGTTAATTTCATAATTTCAACATTGCAATAAAATGGTTTTTTTTTTACAATTTTTTTTTTTTGTAATTTTGGATAATGTTGGTATGGGTTGATTAATTAAAAAATTATGATGATTTACACAAAATGATTAGATCACCATGTTTGACAAATACTTAGTGATCCTACGTAGCAATATCTTGAATCACTAAGACTGATCAGATTATTATATTGAGAAGTAATCTAATTCCCATTCAAATAAGTGAAAAATTTTTTATCATCAAAGTGAAAAATGATATGTTAAAATTAGTAATAGTTAATATTACATATTTAATAAATTAATTAAAATTCTAATTCCTCTTAAACTTATAATTATTTTATATTATAAATTTTATATTTTCCAAACTAATATTCATCATAATAAGTACAAAAATAATTTGTATTTCTTTACTTTTTCTAATGTTTTATATATAATATAATATCTTTGTTTTTTATTATGCTTTTTAATAGATTAGTGTTATTTTCTAATTCCAAAGTTTTTTTACATAATTTATATTATAAAAATTAGTTTACTTAATAAATAAATATATTTAATAATTTAATTATATTTATTATAAATAAATAAAATATTATTATGTTTTTATGAATTATTATCTTTAAATAATATTTAAATTCATTAATTTGGTAATTATTACAATAAGGATAGTTATTTTCACATTTTTAAATAAAATATTATTTGATTTTTAGTAATGCCAAATATAGTGATATTCAATTCATATGAATTAATAATTGTTAACCAAATAAATAATTTAAAATCATAAGTGATAAGATCATATTGCATAATAAGATAACCTTGATGATTATGTTACCATAATAATTTTGAAAATGATATCAAACATTTATTAGAAACACATATCACACGTGTAAGACACTTGTTTGATGATATGAACACAATAGTTTAAAAAAAATTGATTTCTAATTTAAAATTTTTTTAAAAAGTTGTTTTCTATTAAAAAGATACATTTAACTAATAAACCATACAATAATAAAATATAAATATTAATTGCTTTCATATTTACAACTTAAATTAGTTGCATTGTAGGAATTTTTAATTTAAATTAATTTTTTTAAAAATTATTTGAAAAATAAAAATATATGTTTTTACTAATAAATCATACTACAATAAAAAAATGCTAATGGTTTCTAATATTACGATTTATATTAACACATTTTACTGATAAATCATACTATAATAAAAATAAACACTAATAATTTTTATTTTCAAAGTACTAATGATTTTAATATTGCAAATTAAATTAATTGCTTTGTTGGAATTTTATTTTAATCTTAATTTTAACAATTTATTTTTTATTTAAAAAGAAAATATATATAATTACTAAATAAATTATACTATAGTAAAATAATACTAATGGTTTTTAATATTATAACTTATATTAATATATTTTATTGATAAATCATACTATAGTAAAAATAAATGCTAATGATTTTAATATTGTAAATTAAGTAAATTACTTTATTAGGATTTTAATTTAATCTTAATTTTTAAAAAACGTATATTCTGTTTAAAAAGATACATTTTAAAATCCTCCAAAATCATTTTAAATGTTAAATATAACGTTAAAATATATCCACAAATTCATAAATACCCAAAATTTGAAAAAATACCTTTCATATCCAAAAACAATAACATGCGTTTGAATGTAGAATTTTAAAATTTTGAAAAAAAATAAATTGAAGATATTTTAGAATGCATCATTTCAAAATGCTAACATTTATAATTATTTTATTTGGATAAATATTTTTTAAAAAGAAATTTAGTCTGTTGGAATTTGATGAGATAAAAAATAATTATAAAAAAATAATAATAACATAAAGATAAAAAATACAATATGGGTATCATTAGAAGATAAAAAATAATTATAAAAAATAATGATTTAAAGATAAAAATATATATGTGTAACTAAAATGTACAATATGGGTACCATTGGGCTTGTAAAAATATATAAATATTATTAAAAATATAAGAAATAAAAATATATATTAGAATTAAATAAATGTTTTTTTTTTAGTTTTCATGTATAGTAAAAAAAAGAGGATTTCGAAGGATTTTTAAAAACCACCACTTTATATGGAATTTCAAAAAGAAATTTGAGCACCTTTTAAATTTTTTTTTTTTAAATTCCAGTTAAAATTTGAAATT